ATACAACAAAGAATTAGTTTACTGTATAGAATATTTTATCGACTTTTCGCATGAAATAATTCTCTGATATATTTATGAAAAGTAATAATAAAGATAATAATAATAATAATATTATTATTATTATTGTTATTATTATTAATATTAATATTAACAATATTATTATTATCATTATTATTATTAATGATGTTAATGCTTTGAGAAGAAGTTCCAGGCAATTTTTTAATAAAAAGGCTTTTGAGCAAAACAGAATTAAAAAATAAGCTAAATTTTGAAAATAGAATGACTGACAATATTTGAAAATTTATTGAATTCTACGAGAATGAAGCGCAAAAAAAGTGCAACTAAGTGATTTGCGTAGAAAAATTGATCAAAAGTAAATAAAATTTTGAGAGGAAATAAAATAAACCCACGAAATCCGATTAATATTAATCGCACTATTCTGATAATACAATGACGGCTAGTGCCATTTCAGTCAGATTTTGTTTTTCAGTACAATAAGCTAATTTTTGACTGCTATTTATGCTATTAACAAATTATCAATTATTATTTTATGTAACTTAAAATTATTACTCTTAATATTTTTAGGTTTATTTTAATGCTAATTTATTTTTGAAACTAATAAGAACAAATTTATACTAAGCCAATATAAGTAAGCGCTTCGCTTCTAATTACTTAGTTCGAATTATTTAGATAAATGAGAAAATATTATTTAAAATAAAGCAAATGTGCAATAATTATACTTTCAAATTTTCGATCTAAAAAATATAAATTTACGTGATCAAACAATAAAAGCCAAAAGAAATTCCAACGTATTTCCTAAAATAAGCTTGAAATTATTTTTTCAAAGTAACTTTTGACTTTCATAAATTTTCAAATATCATATTTTCATTATTTTCTCAAAATATTTTGTGTATAATTAAAATATTTGGCATTTGAAAATTCATTACTCGAAGGGATTTGAGTGATAATTAATTAATTTGTAGGAAAAAAAATTTCCAGCATAAAATTATTTGTAATTAAGCGAATAAATTGCTCAGAAACACTTCAATTTATTCATTTAAATTCAAATTTGATTGAAAAAAAATTTATTTTACGAACAAAAAAAGTTAAATAAAACTATTTTTTCTTTTTTTCATATTTTGTTTCTTTTGCAAGTAATGAATGTTACTATGGAGACTATGTTGGAGGCAAAATCCTGAAAAATAATTGCAATTTTTGCAGTTTTTGAATAGCATATATGCATTGTATCATTCACTGCAAAAATTGAAATAAAAAATCGTCAACTTTTTTAAAAAATTCTCAAATAATAAAATTTGTTCAAAAATTTGAACAGCTTCAATACTTGAAATGCTTTTTTTGATGCAAACGCGGGAATTAGTCGTTTTGATCAAATTTTTTAATGCATTGCAAACTTAATTACAAGTCATTTCAAATATGATTTTACTTTTTTATGACGTATGATAGAGGCAAATTGTACTTAACTTCAAGCTCTGCCAACAAAAATGCAAATTGTATTGGTAATAGATAAATAATTTATCAGTTATATTAGATATGACGTGTTTTATTGTAGCAAAATGCCTTCGAAAACAAGAAGAAATTTTTAATTTTTTTAAAATTTGTATTTATGCAAATAATTGTTATAAGAAGAATTGAGATTGAAACATTACTGTTTTTGAAAAGATTTAAAAAGTGCTGAACGATTTGAAATTTCAGATTAAATATTGAGATAAAGCAAATAAAAAACTGTAGTTTTGTGTAGATAATACAAAAGTTTTCACACAAAAGTGAATCACTAAACAAACTCAAATTTCAGTAAGGTGATAAGTAATCTTTGCTAAATTATATCTGTTAACTTATCAATCGCTTATAAAACTACAATATTTTGGGGGAAAAAAGCGAAAATATTATAATTTCTAATTTCAAACTATAATAAGTTTTACTATACTGAGAATTAAAAAGTAATTTGAAAAATAATAACAAAAAATCGCGATTGTAAAAATTTTACGGCAAAATTTGAATACAAATAATAATTGCAAAATGTAAATACAAACCAAAATATGCTAAAATAATAATTATTATTAATTTTTAGAAAAACGCAAATACAAATGTTTTTGGAAAAACAGACAATTAAATATTTTGAAGTTACTTATAAATAAGAAAAATATCAAACATAATGACTGATTACAAACTGTCCTAATAAGGAGAGATTAAAAAAGTCTTTTTGCAATTTAAAAAAATAATAACTTTTAAAGTGAATTAAAAAGAAAAGATAAATTTGAATAATTTCAAACTTAGATTGAAATTAGAATTTCAAATTTGGATAATTTCAAATGTGAATAATTTCAAAATTAGAGTTTCCAATAACTTATACTTGTTTATACAAATGTTGGATATGCAAATAGCGTTTAGTAGTAAATCTTTGCTAAAATTACGAAGAGAAGAATTTGTTTGCATCAAAATTTTCTCATTACAATATTACAAAACTGATACTAATTAGTAATGCTAATTTAATTTTCGATAAAATTTTGATAAAAAAGAAAATATAATTCAGAACAAAATTTGAATACAAATAGTAATTGCAAAATTGTCAAAAACTAATAAATGTACGCTTGAAACACAGACGAAAGTTAACAAAATTTATTCAAACAAAAAAAATCAATTCTTTCTTTACTTATTTTTTAAAATAAATTTATTTTTATAATTTTCAAGATATTTTTAGTGTCAAAGTTCAAAAAATTGCTTATTAATAAATTTTTTGTTTGAAAAAAAGTCGCTTAAAAACAAGCGCAGAAAGCTTTTCAGTGATATCATTTTGATGCCTTTCATGCGAGAAAGAGTACAATTTTTTTGCAAAATGATAAGATAGTATATCAGTACAGTTATACTTTTCAAGGCATATTATCATAGAAATTCACATAGAATATTTAATTTTTAAAATGCGTGAAGTGTCTGCAAAAAACGTAATACTATTCTTTCTTACGTAAATCAATAAATCAAAATTTTCATCAAAATAGGTTTCAAAATAATACAAAATGTCTAACATCGGATTAGCACAAACTTTTACTGCCTATACATGTTTGCATAGTGGTGAATATAAGCTATGAAACATGAAGTTAAACTCAATTTTGACGTAGCTGACGTAAAATAATGCACGAAATAAAGTAGTTAGTTAAAATAATTTGATGTAGCAAGTAGAAAATTTTTAAATTTCTGTAAATTGATGGACAATAATTTGCTTGCGTGTTTAGCACAAAACATTTTTTCATTATATTATTTTTACAATTTAAATGATACTACAAGATTTTTTCATGATTATGACCATACTATTTAAAATCACATCATGTTACAAGCAAAAATATCTAAAAATAACTATGCAGTAAATGATTAATTCCTATTATTAACAATCTTTAGTGAGGCTTATTACCGGCCATTTCAGTTGGACAGATTTTTATTCTTAAGTTTGTTTGCTTTTCGTTAGCTTTGATAGACTGTTCTAGCAATTAAAAAATAGACAAGTTATTGATATTTACAAAACATGAATAAAAATTATTTTGCCATCGACATTTATGTCATTTTATGAATAATAATGAGAATAGAGCAATTATCAGGAAAGCAAAAATGAATTTAAGCTTTACTTTATTTGCAGTAGCGAACAGAACTCAAATCTAAAACTTTTCAGTACTTATTAAGAAACTATGAAAGACAAAGTAAACAATTGTTTTTCTAGTATTCAGAAATAAAAAATATTTACCAAATATTCTGTTTCGTACTTACTTATTCATCAAGTAAACATTGAGTAATACTTTTATTTACTACAACATTGTATGTAATAATAGTAAGAATGTTTTTTATGTGATTCGACGAAAAGTAAATTATATATTCAACCATAAACGGATTCCTGGAAATTCTTCTTCATGGACTTCGTTTCGATTTATTCAAATCACACCACTGGCTAGCACATTGATAAGAAAAATATAAATCAAATTCATTAACCCAAAGTCTTCCAAGCAAAATTCATTCTTCTCTACCGTCGCAACTTCACTTCATGGTTTACAGCCAGGCATATTTCGCGCTCAATTCCGTGTATTCACATACAAGTAATATACTAACTTTATCATTAACTTTTACAATTATGTTTACACAATTTTTACAATAATTTAAGACAATTCTTCACAAGTCACCATGTAAGCTTTCTCCACAATTAGAAAGAATAGAACTCTCTTTCACCCAGCACTGATATTTCATTACCTAAAATCTAGTCACCTTCAACATACTACCAAATTATAAAATTCTTTCACAGATACAATACTGCAACAAACATAATAGAATCAACAATACAATTTAAAACAATTCTTCACAAAAAATAGTAATATTTTCAAAATATACAGAATTCATCAGCTTGTCAATATAAAAAATGCACGACAAATGTCAAAGAAGGACAGATCACCATGACTTTTATCTGAAACTAAAAGCAGCTGACATTACAAACACCAAAATCAATGAAATCACATTTTTTCTGTGAAAAATATTTTATTCATGCCTTTAAAATATTAAAAGAAAAACTACTACCACATTGAACACTCTGCCTGTGAAATTTATGTAAATTATTTCTTAAACAAAGTAGCTCAATTCTAGTTTTAATGAACTGATAACAATAACATGATTTTAAAAAGAAATATACGGATTTGTCAGAACTGTAGGCAAGTTAACAACAGCTTGCTATCAGAATTGCAATTTTCTCATTTTACTGAACCTTATAAACTAAGTGACATGTATTTTCTGCAAAACATATTCCTTCTAGAATTATTTCATAACTTATGTTGTTTCCAAAATTTCTGATTTAATATGATGTTTTCCAATCATTGAAAGCACACCCAACAAAGAAGAATTAACCTGAAATCAATTTAAAAGTACAAATTTGAAAAATGGATACTTTGATTTTTATGATAGTTATTATGAAATCTAGGAAACTCCTTTTAGAACTTCCGCGTTTTAATCCCGATATTCTTGTATAGCAGTATGTTATTTAACAGCATAAAGCTTTTGAATCCTTTAACTTATGCAACAAAAAGGCCACAAACGTATACTAACCAAATGTGAAATTTCCTCACTTTTTTCTTGATCATTCCTCACAGTTAAATGATTATGACCTGAAATAGAGATACTGGAAGCGTTACAAATTAATTAGTTACAAGAATTTGCAAAAAGAAAAAAGTTACTTTTCTAGTAACTTTTGTAAGTAAACCAACAATGCCGTAAATTTTCAAAAAATTTGAAAACTTTTTTATGTTTGAAAATTTTCAACGTTCAAAAAATATATTTCTTGAAATTCTAACTTATTTACAAATTCATGATGATAAAAATAAAATAATATAATAACCTGCTGAAGCGACTGTACTATGTGACGCTGGAAAAGATTCATCACAATCAGGAACTTCGCGCTTGATCCTTTTCAGAAGTACTTCATTTTCTTCACATTCAACACTATTTACCATATTTTTCAGAATATGATTAGTTGATAAAAGTCCAATGCTGGCAGAAGGAATAGCCATTGCTAATGCCGACTGACTATCCCTTGAATCCCCCATAGTAATTGAAATGGAAACCGTTTCAAGATCAGTTAAAGGCGAAATTGTTAATGGAACAGACTGACCAGTAGTACCAACTGTTGAAGAAGTGAGAGGTACTGGACTTGAGCCACATGGTAATGACCCATTTAATGACCTGAAAAAATTACTGTAAGTGCTAAAATTTTCTAGCATTTACTGTCTTCAAAAATGAGAAATATGATGTTTACAGTAATTTTAATTTGCAAATTTTATAACTAATTAGAAAAAATCCCATTACTAAAACAGCAGAAAATTTGCACAATAAAGAATTTCAAGTTTTTTCCAAAATTTAGTAGCATTTAATACTTAAAATTAGCTATGCAAATAACTACATAAATGAACAAAAATAATCACTAACACAGTTCTTAGCTTTCCCATTAATTCATCTCCTTTTGCAAGCATTGCTTCGCGTTCTTCTTTCGATAGTTCACTATGTTTATAATTCAAATGACCGATTAATCTAAATAATGCTTCGTAAATAATAAAATCATTAGAATACTGAATTCAAAAACAGATAAATAAAGTTATATCAGTTTCTCATACACATGAACAAAATATAAAATAATTATGTTGGCAAGTCAGTAATATTTACATTTTTCCCTCAACTAATGTTACACCAGATTGGCAGCAAATAATACAAATAATTAATCACTAAGGAACCAATTTCATCAACTCGAAAGCAATGAAGCAAACAAATGATACATTTTCGTAATTTTGTGAAAATTTTAATTAATCCTGATGAGAATTAATTTTCGATCAATTAAGAGATATTTTTGATACTTTTTATCACACTACAATTTACTTAGAAAATATGAACGAAATAAATAAAAATTGTTTAAAATAGAACCTACTTTCGTTTTTCAGCATACGAGTCCAAACATCCTTCAACACTACATCTATATGGATTGTTAGCCCGCTTATGTTCAATTGCATGACGTGTTAACATGCAACGATTTTTAAACCGAAAATCAAACACCTGATACATTCATTATTTCTAAATTGAAAACTTTCCGATATTTCAAAGATGTTTTAGAATATGTTAAAGTCTTAAACGCCAAGATAAACATTTTCTACTCAAGTTTGTGTATTTTTCAGCAACGGTATATATGATACTAACTTCTGTCCGCATTTTTGGCATGTCAGAGCCATCATTTTCTCATAAGTTGACATCTGACGTCGACGCGTATTTTCTGCAGGTAATGATGACGTGACAGTTCCTAATTGGTCTTTTGCTTCATCCAACGTAAAGTTCTTAAAGTTGCAAGCTCTTTTTAGTTTTAATTTTTATCAATAAAATCAAACAAGTAAATTATATTATTATTATTAATAATAAAGCTACCAAAATTAATGTAATATAAAAGCTGAGATACCATATTTATAGAAGAATCACAACTTTTTTTCGACGAACTTTCTGTTACCACTGACTCTAATGGAGAATCTTCTTCATCTATTAAATTATGTTCTGACAGTAAATAAGTTTTCGGTTTCTGGGTACTGCGAGCTTGCCACACAAACTCTTGTGAAACCGAACTATCAGCTTTAAATTCGTGCTGCAATAATTTCAACTTTCCCCTTTATAACAGTGAATTATTGGAAAATTAAATAAAAAAGCAATTTTCAAACTTTAGTTTTCATGTGCAAGCAATTTTTATTTTACGAAAAATGTTTCAAAATGTTACCAAAGTTGATGACAGTGCTGTCGGTATATCTAATGCGTCATCAGCTGAGGCTGAATCCTTTTTCTCACACTAAAAAATTTATTAGAAAATATTGAAAAGTTGGCAAAAACCACATAAATCCTCCAGATGTTTTATAGAAAATACATCTCGATCCTTTTTACAATAACTTCAACAATATGCATAAGTTAAAGCACCTCTTCCATACTATGGCAACAGCTTGTGATACTTTTCTGCGAGCATATCGACACATCGGAATTTGATGATCTATCATGATTTGCATTCGAATGAGAATCAGCACTTCGACAAGGAAAAGCTAAAGAAGTAATAAAAGACTTTAATTATGAACTTATCTAAAAAATAAATTTGATAGTTATTCAACATATGCAAATATTGGAACCGCTTCAAGTGTAAGTAAATATCCATCAAAATCTAATTAATTAATGAAGTAATTACTCACCATATGTAACAACTACAATCTTTTCTTTTTCTACCGATGTTATACAAGAACGGAACTGATCACTGAGTATTTCTGATATATCTTCATTTGGATGCGAACTTTTCAAATGAATAATAAAACTGCAAATACATAACATAATTCCGATATCTTAATAATACAGAATTATGGATGTTATAGGACAAAAAGCCATCAGTGATTTAATAAATTTCCGTAATTTATAACTTTTTTCGTTGCAGAAATAGCAGATGCAATTTATCACCTTTGCAGAGTAAATATATATGCTTCACAAAAAAAACACTTGAATGATAAAACGTGCGATGTTACATCCTGCAAAATATTTTGCTTTTAGCAGAAAATTCAGCATTATCAGTTAATAAATGCATTTTTGTAATTACTGATAATTAATAATGATATTAGTCAAACACTCATTAGATCATCCAAAAAACTGGTGCGCATACGTTTTAATGAGGTAGTTATTCAAATGCTTTGAAAATTTTTATTTGCAAACTTCAACTTTCTGAAAGTTGCGAAATTGGCGGGGTTTTAAGAAACAAAATTTCGTTTATCCAAAGTCAACATTACATGCAAGATAATTCCAGAAAAGCAATGTGTTGCTAAGATACCTCAGCAGTAAAAGATGTCTCCAGTGATGATGGTTTAATCGTTTCTCGAAATCTATCTACTTTCTGAGACTTTTCCATTTCTCGAGCATCAATAACTTGTTGAGACTTATCAATTTCCTCAGATTTAATCAGCTCTAATAATCCATTCATTTCTTGGGATTCAACAATTTCTTCAGGTCTAATCACTTTCTGACAACTTTTCGTTGTAATTCTTGAGATTTTTTCCGCTTCGCTCAAAGAAGACGAAAGTGAATTCCTTTTTTGTTCTGGTACTTTTACGGCATTCTAAAACATTTCATTAAATTATGCTTAAAAAATGTGAAAATATACGTATTTCAATATTTTCTTTCAATATTCTCATTTATGAAAAAAAGTATGCATAACAAAGTTACAAAATATTTAATATGCAAGAAGCTAGTGAATATACCTTTTTTAATTTTTTTGTTTGCTTTATATCCAAGTTTGATCTGGAAATGCAAACATGTATCTCGCAATAAATACATAATAAAAACATTTGTCAACATAATTAAGAAGAAACAATGTTGGCTTCCATGTACTTGAACAGTAAGTTGCAAATGACTTAGTACTTTTTACTGCATATTTAAAACCATTTTGTTCTTGGAGATTGTATGAGAAAATTTTTCAAATTTTTACTTTGTCTTAATTGATAATGGCTTGCTTTTTTCAACATCCATCAGTAACAACTGTTCAATTGATTTAAAAAACCTGAAATACAAATTAATCCTAAAATTTAGGGTAGTAAATTGATGATAAGTAAGAGACGCAAAAAAATTATTTTTCACGTGTGAGATGAAAATGAGCTCATAATTTAATACTTCATCACTATTTTGTTTTCAATTACATTTATCAAATACGATCGATTTCATGTAAAACTACGAATTTGCCACAATTAACATGCTACATGAAAACTAAAAGTTCATCATTATGAAATATATCCCTATTTAAAAAAATCTTTTCCAAAACCAATTGTTTCAGTGAATCGCAATCATAATTACGAATCACTGAAACAATTGTAATAAATCCAAAACCAATTTAGAAGCAAAGAGTGATTTGTATCAATCAATTTATATAAATGGTTATAGTAAAAATAAACACTGAAAAAATGAAAAAAAGCCAAATAATCATCAAGGAAGCTCTCCCAGACCAAGAATTGATGATGGGGCGCTGAAAAATGTGTCTCTCAATAATACCACTACAACGTCACAATTTTCAATGTTATTAATAATTACTAAAAGCAGTTTACACAATATCAGTATTAGTAATACTACTGAGAAAATGTTTTTCATTTTGTAACCGTACGAATATCAACAAAATCACAGTGTAAGCTGGTAATGCCAACAAAGGCAAAAAAAATCACTCGGCATTGATTTATTCATTTACTAATTTTCAAAGGCTCTGTAATTGTTTTATGACCTAGAAATCGACGAAAATTTCGCAAAAGACATTATGACATCTTGCTATATTCTGGCTTTAATTTGTCAATGATGACCTAATTATGGTGGCATTAACATCAAAAGTGAACTTGCGCCAATGACTAACTATTTAATCGATTGTGGGAAAGAATCCCAAAATCTTAACATGATTCAAAGAATCAGTAAAATCATCCAGAATCCAGTATACAAAATCTCATGGAATATACATGCAATAATGGCCTGCGCTTAGCAGGCTGCTAATATATAAATAAAAAACTGGCTAGAAGATTTTATGCTGATCAGGCAAACAAGGTCTATAAATGCAAAGTTCGAAATAATGGTAAGGATCAAACTTCATTTAAATTACATTAATAAGAACTTGCAGTCAAAAAAATACATTGATTTCGCGCTTAGCCACAAGATTAAATTTTTCTCAAGCTAAGTCACAGAATTTTTATGACAAATCCAAGTCTGAAAGAAGAGATATGAAATATTACGAAAAAAACATTGTGCTATGTTCAGGAAAGAGATATCAGTACATAGCAGTCCTCCTGTACTCCACTTATACTTTTCAATTTTTCGTTTAAAACATGTAATATGCATTACTGGATCTACGGGATATGGTTAAAATCAACAAAATTGGGCATTTTTAAAAAAAAAGTTCTGTAGAGTTACAATGTCTGCGTAGCAGTGTGTTAATCGAGAACATTCTAGAATCTTTCATTTTCAAAATTGGACTCCTTCCAGCGTAACACAAATACAGTATAGCGTCCATTGTTACTTTCATCATCCTCTATACTTTCTATTCAATGTATACCATAGGGTTCTCTAGAGGTTAATAGGATATTTTGAAACTTGAAGCTTTTTAGAATTTTCTGAAATATTCAAGAAAAATTTCTCGAACACCATCATATTTCTTCAAAAATACACATTTTGAAAAATAATTCGTAAATTAGGAAAAATGCACACAATAAATGCAAAGAAATTCTTGTTTAGTTTTTTTTAGCTATAAATCTGAAATTATTTAAAAGAATAAATTAAATTCCAAAAGAATAGTCAAAAATGACTCAATTACAAGTACGAGATTAAGCAGCAAGATCCCTTAGAAGTAAAGTTTTAGCAAGAGATTAAGGCACAAAATTAGAAAGAATAATTTTTCAGCAATGTAAAACTCTGCAAGAAGAGTGAATTCGTATTCACGCGAACAAAACTATGGCCTCTAACACCTTAACAATCCGCAACTCTATTTATATATGCATATATGTGTAATACATTTTCACTCAGATCGATCTTTGCCAACCAATCGTCACGGTGGTTAATTTGCATATTCAATAAATTTGCATATTTGAGAGTACCAATACAGACAGACAGCAGTGAAACTAATAGTTACGACTAAACAAGGACAAATATAGAGTAACAGATGTGCATACATTCTTCATTTACTTAATGATTCTGTTGGAATGAGAGTTAAATTAGAGAAAATGTAGTTTTCCATGAAAAATAATGATAATTTGCATGAGAAATAGTATGTGAAAGCAGAGAGTGAAACGAAAAAGTGTATTGATCAGAAAATTTGCATAATAAAAATTATTTTCTCGAATGAAATATTTGCTTTGCTGCTGAAAATCTCCTTTCAATTGTAATATCCATAAATAGTAGTGAGGAAGAAAGAGTGAAAAGAAATATGCAGTTGTGGAAGGGATTGTTAATGATTGACATTGATATGTATGCAAAAAACGTGATCATTCACGCTTGGATTTGTTGTGTTTTACTTCAAATTTGAAGCAGAAAGTAAAAGTAATCAGTAATAATTGAAGATAAAAGTGCTCTATAATTAAGTTTCACTACTATTTACACTTTATTCTCTGTATAAAATTTGAATTTCCAATGAAAGCGTCAATCAATAAATGTAATTATATTTGAGTAATTACTTTTTTAAATTTATTACTCGTAAGTCTGTTATATTCCAAAACAGCAGACTTCTCGAACTTTCTTGTAAGAAATATGAACAGATAATAAAGTTGCTATGATTTCGTAATCTTTTTTTTTGAAAGATTATGAAATTTTTGAAATTTCGTGATTCCCA